AGCCAGTATCTTTTGCAAGATATAGCAGCTCCAGGCAGAGGGACATACAGCTGAGCCTGCGTCCCTCTGAGAACCAGAAATAAATGCGCAGTCACTGCTGCGCGCCGGAGAGGAGAAGGAACGTCTCTCGGCTGTCATCCTCTCCCTGTGTGGTGGGAGGTGTTGGCAGTGAGAGCCGAGTTATTTATTTATTAAGATCCCACTTGTGTTGCTGCCTGAGGCTGCTGTCTCTGTGCCGGAGCTGTGCTGCCTATGTGCTTGCAGGGCACGGGGAGACCCTGTAAGCCATGGAGCCTGGGCACATATATAAAAATACTGTGACTTCGGCAATGGTGGGGCTGGAGGAGGCATGCAGGGCTCGTTGGCACTGAAAATGTCGCTGTCCCAAACACCGAGCAGAAGGCACCCTCTTGAGAGCCTCCAGGCGAAGGTGGATGTGCATCAGCTCCATATCCACTGAGTCCAGCCCCCAGCCGCGTTGCTGCAGCACTTGTGTGCTGAGCCCTATGTGATCCCTGGCATGCTGTGGCTGTAGGAAGCCCCGCAGGCTTTTCCAGAACGTGGCTTTTAAGTCAGATCAGACCAGCAGTGCGGTTTGCAGCCCGGCTGTGCGCAGCTGGATCAGCGTGGCCGGGGGGCAGGAAGACGCAGGCGGGAGCATGGCGAGGTGGGAGCCTCGCCAGCCGTCCTCTGCGCAGGGAAACGGTGCCTGGGTGCGTCAGCGTGCCCTCCAAGTCCCGGCACACGAGCCCTTCTGTGCCCCCTCTGCCCTCTTCCCCCGGCCCCGCTGGCACCTGCAGCCGAGGGCAGGTGGGAGCCGCGGCACGCGGCTCCCTGGGGACTCAACCTTCACCGACTGCAGGCTCATAAATCCCATGGGGCCAGCCCTTGACCGCAGCGTCTGTGCTCCTCTGCAGAGTGATCAATCACATTTTCCAACACGATTCCTTCTCCTTGGCATTAATCAGCCCAAGAAAGCAGCCTGGGCTGATCACTGCCCCGGAGCTTTCTGTTAAATTCACCAGCTGATCGTCATCTCTTATTCCTGATGCCATAAATCGGCAGTGGGGAGAGCGGTGTGTAAACGGCACGTTATCCTCAAAACCCTGGCAACCACAGCAATGCAGCAAGAAAATATTTGGGACCTTTGGGAGGTGCTGCGACAGGCAGCCCTACCTACCTCGCGCTGGGAAGCCCAGCTGAGGGCAGTGCGGGCAGGCGGGCAGGATGGCCAGTACAGGGGCTGTGTGGCCCGCCAAGGGCAGGGACAGAGGTCTCAGCCCCCCTGGCCTGACCTGGTCCCGGAGCCCTTGGGACAACAGGCATTTCCCCTTGACAGATGGGACTGGTCACAGCTTGCCAGCCCTCCCATTTCCATTTTTCCCGTATCCATTTATTCAGGAAAACACAGAATGCTTCAGGGTGCAGTGCTTTGCTACTGCAGTATAGAGCCTTTGCCCAGCCAGCATCTTTCCTGAAGTGGTAAGTAGATGGACTCTGATAAATCCAGGGTATGATGAATCATTTGCACTTGGCGCCTGATCTCCCCGGTGTCTTCAGTTTTGTTTTAGCTTGGCAGCATTATGGAGAGAATTAGCCAATCTCACTGATATTTTAATGTATATATAATTTGAATGCTGCATTCCTAAAATCAATAATTCATTATTCAAGGTGATAGCAGAGCTAAAATTAGTCCTTTAGCTATACCAAGAATATCAGGATGATATTAGGATTAGTGACCTTAGGAAACACATGTCTTCATACACGTGGGTAGAGCAGCAGGAGGGCATGGTGCTAAGCTGTGTGGCGGTGCACCCTCAGCATCGTCCCTGCCGCCTCTCCGGGGAGCCAGATCCTGCCCTGCCTCCTGCCTGAGGCAGTCCCGCTGAGCTGCCTGAATTACGCCAGGGTTAAGCTGCGGCGGTAGGTGAGGTGATCTGGGGCGGTGTGCCACGGGAACACAGGGACGGTGGATTTTTATTTATTTTTCTGCCCAGGGCGGTCAGACCTGATGTGGGAGGTGGTGATTTGGAATCCTCAGTTTACACGTTTTGACAGCAGAGCAGGGTGTGTGCTAGGATGGACCGGTTTTCTCCCTTATTTTCCTTCCTGCTCTTGCTGATTTGCAGCCAAGCCCCTCCATTAGCCCCTTGGCCACTGACATGCATTAGCAAGGGGTGGGATTTTGGGAAAACTCCTGTGCATTCTCCATTTGCTTTGGTTACGCACGGCCGCACGTGTGCCAGTCCAGAGCTGTGTGCATGCCCTGGTGCTGGAGATCATGCTGGAGAAGAGTTTTTCTCGTATTAGCTAATAGGAGAGGAGAAAAGGTGGAGATCTTTTACATGCTAGGCAAGAATTGATGTGTTACTAATTGCAGTAATAGAAAACATTATCCCTCAGAGGATGTTGTTATTTTATAAACAAGGGGATAATTTACAGCTCAATTACTTAAATCATGAGTTAATTGCTAAGCATAATGAATAAATACATTTGCAAGTACAACATTTAATTTGCACAGATTCCAGTAGTCTAGGCATTAAGAGGCAGATCATTATTTGGTAAGTAATCTGGAATGTCATATGAAATGACATTTATTTTCACATGTAATCCAAATGATGAAATGTCCTGAAATGAGATTTCAAGGGCCTTGTCCTTCCTCCCCTGCAATGAAGGGAAGTGTTTTCATCAGCTGCCTTAGAAATGCGTTGAGGCTGCCTGGCAGCACAGGGGAAGGCAGGAGTCTTCCAGGAGCAACATAGAGAGCAGAGTAGCAAACGTAGGTTCACGCAGGTGTGATATTTTTAATACTACAAAATGCAAAGAGAGAATATAGAGACAAAAATTGGGGACACCTGTGGTGGGCTGGGAGGCTTCACATCAGTGTCAGTTGGCGGCAGGATGACTGCGGGGCTGTGAAAAACACAGGCAGGGCCCGAGGAGGTGAGCAGGGAGTACTTCTGGCGACAAAAGGGAGGTAGGTGTTAGTGCCACGGCCTGAGCACCGGCGAGGCCTCGGCTCTGTGCAAGGCTGCAAACAGAAGCAGCAGCAAATAAACCCAGCAAAGGGGGTTTTTGCAGCTCACTGCTGTCCGTGCATGCCCAACAGCCTCTGCTCGCTCTGCAGGAGGCTGCAGGACTTTGGAGGCTGTGGGACTTTGTGCCCGTC